GCCCTTCCTTGTCCTCAGAGCTTAAAGAATGGGGCTGAGCAGTGACACGTGAAGCTCTGCCAGGGCAGCCCACCTGGCGGAGTTCCGAGTTCACGTCCAGAGACCTCCCTGAGTACACCAGGCACCTGCGTGTCTGTGGTCAGGGCTGGCTGAGGACTAGGGGCGGGCCGCGATGTCAGGTTCTTGTCGTGCTTTCTCTCCCTCTGAAAATACATACATAAATAAACTTTTTAAAGAAAATTTTTAGAGAGAGATTTTTTTGCTATAGGGTGTGTGCGCTTGCAAGAGAGAGACAGAGAGACAGAAAGTGAGAAATCACCCCCCAGGGGGGATGGCCACACCACATGAGTGTTTTTGTTTTTGTTTTTAGAGGTTTTTGCTCTTTTTTTTTTTTTTTGGAGAGGTTTTTGTTATAGGGCACGTGCGTTCGCCAGACAGACAGAGAGAGACAGAGAGACAGAAAGTGAGAAATCACCCCCCAGGGGGGATGGCCATGCAGCAATCCCTTCTCCTCCATTCTCCTCTCAGGATCTTGGGCACACAAGCACACATGTCTGGCAAGAGTTTTAAGCCACCGGGTCTGGGACACAAACCGCGGTCAACTATGTGGGAGTCCAGTGACATAGCCATTACGCTAACTGCTGGTCCCGCAGCATGAGTTTTTTGTTTTGTTTTGTTTTGTTTTTTTCCCCCCAGCATGAGTTTTAAACCACTAGGTCTAGGACTCGAACCACGGTCAACTATGTGGGAATCCAGCAATGTAACCATTATGCCATCTGCTGGTCCCAATAAATAAACTTAAAAAAAAAAAAAAAAAACAAGGCCTACAGGTGGCATGTAGATTAAGGCTGCTGGATCCCGCATGGGTGACTGAGTGGTTCAAGTCTTGGACCAGCAGCTTGGGAGCCATGCGGGGCATGTGTGCGTGTATGTCCAAAATCCTGAGAGGAGAATGGTGGAGAAGGGGTTGTGAGGCCATCCCCGGGGGCCGGGGTGGGGGGGATTTCTCACTCCCCTCCCACTCCTGTCTATCTCTCTGGCAAGTTTATGCACCCTATAGCAAAAACATAAGAGAAAAAAAAAATATGTTATTTAATGTATAAACAGCCAAGTGGGTGCCATAACCAGCTCAAAATGGCAGCGGAGGGAGCCAGCAAGTGGCGTGGTTGGGGGTGCTGGACTCCCACTGGCCAACCGCGGTTCGAGTCCTGGGCCTGGCGACTTGCTTTCTGCCCCTCTCTGGTCAAATTGAAATAATTAATAAATAAAGTTAAATAATAATAATAATAATAAGGCTCCGAAGAACCTCTCTATTTATAGGTCAGGAAATCACTGAAATGGATGTACAAATGGAGGCAGGAGTGGTTTTCCACAAGGAGTGAAGAGGACCTCTACCAGAGGACGCTTCTGTGACTTACATAAAATACACAGAGTTGTAAAACAGCTCAAGGACCATCACAGGCAAGAGCCCACTAACCCGGGAGGGCGTGCTGCGTGTGGACGTGCATAGTTTCCCGCTGAAGCACACACATTTTGCTCTGCAGAAGGAAGACTGAGCAGGGAGCACTCTCAACTCCAATTTCAGATTGTTCTCTGAGGATTAGTATGACACACAGGACGCAAGGTCCTTTCTGGATAAACGGGGGAAAGTACATCTCCCTGGTAAGCAAGAGGCCCGAAGTCTAAACTCAGCCGCTCTTAGGACGCAAGGTTCGAGACAAAGATCTGTTTCAGTCAGATGCTGGCATGTCTGTTACATAATGGATTTCAGAACATTCCAGATGGTGACGTTTCTTTCTTTTTTTTTTTTTAGAATTATTTTATTTATTTTAATTTGATCAGAGAGTGGCAGAGTGAGAGAGGGAAAGTGAGAAAGCGAGCCGCCAGGTCCAGGACTCGAACCGTAGCCGTGTGGGAGTCCAGCGCTCTTAACCACCGCGCCCTGCCAGCCCCCAGACCGGAAGTGTTTCTGAAGTGGCTCTGTAGTGGGCATCTGTGGAGTTTTGGCTGGACCTGCTTGGCCCCCGGCTGTGCTGTTCACCCTGGGGCAGTTTCCGCCTCTTGGTCCATTTTATAGGAGCTTACTTTGCTAAGTAAACTGCTACTGAACTGAGAAAGTGATTTCTTTGAAAACGTGGGTAGCTCACTGATTCTTCCTTATCTGTGCGCCTAGCAGGGTAGGGAGCAGCATCTGGTCGCCCTGGAGCGGGGTGGCCCACGCTGGGTGAAGCACCCGAGTTCGGCCTTGGGTAAGGGGGGCCCAGGGCTGGGACCAGCAGATGGAACAATGGTTACATCGCTGGACTCCCACGTAGTGGACCACAGTTTAAGTCCCTGGCCTGGTGGCTTAAACTCACCACGGACGCATGTGCTGTGTGCCCAAGATCCCAGGAGGAGAATGGAGAAGAGGTTGTGGTGTGGCCATCTCTGCCCCCCAGGGGTGATTTCTCGGTTTCTGTCTCTCCTGGGAGCACAGGAAACCTCTCTAAGGAAAAAAAAAAAGGAAAGGCTCAGGGCTCCCCCATAGCCCAGTGGCCTCTTTGGTTCATAATTTCTTTTATTTATTTATTTATTTATTTATTGGAGAGGTTTTTGCTATAGGGCGCGTGCGCTCGCCAGACAGACAGAGAGAGACAGAGAGACAGAAAGTGAGAAATCACCCCCAGGGGAGAATGGCCAAGCCGCAATCCCTTCTCCTCCATTCTCCTCTCGGGATCTTGGGCACACACGCACACGCGCCCGGCGTGAGTTTAAGACACTGGGTCAAGGACTCGCTACGCCGCCGGTACATGGGAGTCTAGTGACATAGCCATTTCGCTAACTGCTGGTTTCTCCCCCACACCCCTCCCCGCCTCGGTTCCAGTTTTGTACTTACCAGCCGGGGTTCCCAGGGGTCCATGGAGGGTAGCGGCTGGGTCTTCCAGGTGGGAGTAGGCCTGACATAGTCTCCCTCTATGAGGGCACGTTCCTGGGACAGCTGCAGCCATTCCACAGCCGGGCACTGGCTTGTGACTCTAATGTGATTCGTCTGCTCTCAGCTTTACCCAGGTGCGGCGGGCAGGCCAGAATGCCCCTTCCCAAACCGCGTTTGGAAAAGCCGCGGACCCGGGGAGAGGCGAGAGCTGTTTTCGAGCCCAGGCTGCCCTCTAGTGGCGCAGCGCCGCACCTGCCTTTGGGGAGTCCAGCTCCGCCCTCGCAGCGCTGGGTTTGCAAGACAGGACCTGGTGGCCTTCCCAGGACCTCAGGCGTGGGGATGCGTCCCTGTCTCAGAACTCGTATTCAGTACTTTATCAGCTCCTCTCCCAGTCTTCGAGTATCTAGTTTAGGATATGTGTATGTATGTGTATGTTTTTATTTTATTTATTTTTAGATTAAAAATTATTTAGAATTATTTTATTTCATTTATTATTATTTTTTAATTTGACCAGCAATAGAGAGAGAAAACAACCTGCCAGGTCTGGGACTCAAACCATGGTCAGCCATATTGGAGTCCAGCTTCGTGGGAGTCCAGCTCCTCAACCACTCTGCCGTCTGCCAGTCCCTGAGAGATTTTTGCTACAGGGCATGTGTGTTCACCAGTCAGAGACAAAGAGACAGAAAGGGAGACTCACCCCCTGGGGGATGGCCACACCACAATCCCTTCTCCCTGCAGTCAGGTACATGGGAGTCCAGCGACATAGCTATTACATTAACTGCTGGTCCTGTCAGTGTGAAATTTTTAAAAAAAAATATTCATTGAGAACCAGCAGTTAGCGTAATGGCTATGTTGCTGGACTCCCACGTAGTCGACCGCGGTTCGTGTCCCGGACCCGGTGGCTTAAAACTCACACCGGGCGCGTGTGCGTGTGTGCCCAAGATCCCGAGAGGAGAATGGAGGAGAAGGGATTGCGGCGTGACCATCCCCCCTGGGGGGTGATTTCTCGCTTTCTGTCTCTATGTCTCTCTCTGTCTGGCGAGCGCACGCGCCCTACAGTGAAAATCTCTCCAAAAAAAATAAAAAGAAATATTCATTTAATTATATCTGTTATTTATTTTTAAAAATTTAACCAGAGAGAAAGGGAAAGTGAGAAAGCAAGCTGCCAGGTCTGGAACTTGAACTGTGGTCAGCCATGTGGGAGTGTCTAGTGCCTTAACCACCATGCCACCTGCTGGTCCCCCTTTTATTTATTTATTTATTTTAATTTGATCAAAGAGGGAGAGAGAGAAAGAAAGCCGCCAGGTCTGGAACTCAAACCACAGTGTGTTACATGGGGGTCCAGTGCCCTTAACCACCACACCACCTGCTAGTCCGTCCCGTATTTATTTTAATTACTAGAGTGAGCTTGTGAAGGTGGCCAGGAGAAGGTGGCCAGGAGAGGGGAGCAGGCACTTCCCAGTGGGGTGTGGTCCCACAGCAATCCCTTCTCCTCCATCTCTCCATATTTTTTGGACTTGGGGCACACATTTTTTAGATGCCGGGATCGGGATTCAATTTAAGGTTGGCCATGTGGGATTCAACTCAACCACACTAGTCTATGAGGCCAGCCCAACCCAGAAAGCTTTTTTCTAGGGCTACTACCAAAGGCTAGCATTTACTTGGGTGAGATTTTTTAAAAAGCTTTATTTAAAATAACTATTTAATTTTATTATTCTTGTATTTGCTATAGGGCACGTGCGCTCACCAGAGAGACAGAGAGAGGGAGAGGGAAAGTGAGAAAGCAAGCTGCTGGGTCCAGGACTTGAACTATCAACCATGTGAGAGTCCAGCACCTCAACTGGCCTCAAGCTTATTTATCTTTTCTAGGCACAAGAGAGACAGAGCGACAGCACCCCCAAGAGCATCTTCACTCTGCAATGCCCCGGCCCCAGCCAGCCCAGAGCACAGGCAACGACATGTTGTGTGTTCAGGCAGGTCTGCAGATGTGACCGGCCCCTCCCCACGGGGGTCAGGCTCGGAGTGTGTCATCGCCCCTGCACCACCATCCAGCCCCCCGTGAGCTCTTAACCAGGACACAGACCGCCTCAGTTACACATTTATTTCCACGGGGGAGCAGGAACAGTCGTAACTAGCACATGGACAGCGGGCTGTAGGGTCGACTCTCAGCACGCGGCTCAGGCGGAGGTGTGTAAGGCGGCACGCGGGTCCCAAGGCCGCGGCGTGCAGGACCACTATGCAGTTACAGAAAACCAGCGCTGGCTCGTGGATGCCCACCTTGGGGCTGCTGCTCTACACTCAGGGCAAGAAGCCATGCTCTGGTGTGAAGCCAAGGGAGCACCCCGAGTGTGGAACTGGGGTGCTCTCGGAGGAGCGTGCGGTACGCAGGCCCACCTGAGGGAGGAAAGACGTCCTGTTTCGCTGGCGCCCTACAAAGTGTCTTAGAGGTGACAAAGTGACAAGAGTGCTTTTCCTTACAAGGGAAGAGGCTCTCGCAGGTGTGGCCTTGTGAGTGCAGAGGTTGTGGGGCAGCCTGGGACCAAGGGCTAGAGCGGGACTTGGGAGGATGGGGGGCACACCTGCCCACGGTCCTGGAGGTGTGTGTGTACGAGGGGACAGCACAGCCCAGCCAGGGATGCAGGGGGACACGCAGCCCTGTCAGCCTGCCCCCAGCGTAAGAGGGTCCTTCCACACCTGCTGGCTCGCTGTCACACACAGGAGGTGGCACCAGCAATGGAGGGGCGGCTGGCACTCCCTGCTGCCTGCAGACCACCTCTCCTGCTGCCCTGGACCCCAGCCCCACCGTGGCATGACACTTCCCAGAGGCAGTGAGTCCACGGCCATGTCACCACCAGGGCACATTCTTGCAGGCTTATACTGAGGAGAGATGCCTGCGATTGAGATTCCCATCCTGAACCCCAAGAACGCTTCTTCCTAGCACTTAAACATCCAAACTTTCAAGACGCACTTTTGCAGGAACCTTGAGATTCTCAAGCAGTTCATTCCTGCAGGCCAGGGCTGGCCTGGTGACCCCCTCTAGAGAGCTGAAGGGTCAGCTCAAGTGACACAGGCCCCATGGGTAGACCCGCCCAGACTCATCTCTGGCCAGAAGGGCGCCCTGAGCGTGACGCTCCCTGTACAGGAGCCTCCCAGAGCCCAGGGGATGGGGGGCGACAGTCTAGGGTGCTGTCCGCCAGCCACCACGTCTGGCTGGGAGGAAGCTGGGCCGGCCGCGTGCCAGACACACAGGGCAGAGCTGCGAGGTGCTCCCCGTTGAGGCTGCGCAGAAAAGTGTGCAGGAGCAGGTCAGGAAGGGAAAGTGAGTCAGGGAGGCCCCGCCAGCTGGTGGGTCGGACTGTCCTGGCGCTGGTGCAGCTCTCAGCAGCACCCAGCGGCACTCCGCTTCACGTGGCATGGCTTGCAGAAGAGACGGTCGTTCAGGGGGTAGCAGCCTTGGTCCGTGGGCTCCACAGACAGCAGGATCCTGCAGTCCTGGGGAGACAAAGGCAATGGGGAAGTGCCCAGGCCTGGACGCTGCTGGCACAGAGCCTCAAGGGCCAGGGCACCTGCACAGTAAACCCAAGGGACCGTCCTTCCTAAGGGCGAGGAGTGTTCCGGTTCCTGCACCCGCACACCTGAGCCAGGTCTCCGTGCACAGAGGCATGGGTGACAAGGGCAGCCATGTGGGGAGCACTGAGGGCACTGGGAGAAGTCCCCTGAGGGTCACAGAGGTTGGGGCTGGAACCCCCGCTGTGGTTGGAAGGTGCCCCCAGATTTCACGTGCAGAGATTGGCTCCTATCATGGTACCGACAGGGAACTTGTTCTAACCACAGGATCAAGAGGTAGAGTTTTAGGGGGGCAGACGGTGGTAGAGCAGTAGAGTAGGAATCTCTATAAAGCAGACCCATGTGGCAAGGTGGCCAGCTTGAGGCACACGACGGTGAGTCTGCTGGAGATGTCTGAGGTGCTGGACTCCCACTTGACCGCAGTGCAAGTCCCCGACCTGGCGGCTTGCTTCCTCATCTCTCTTTCTCTGATGAGTGTACATACCTTATAGTAAATTTAAAAAATAATAATACTGGGGCCAGCAGGTGACATGGTGGTTAAAGGCGCTGACTCCCACATGGCTGAGTGCGGTTCAAGTCCCAGACCTGGCAGCTTGCTTTCTCATTCCCCCTGCTCCCCTACTCTATCCCTCTCTGGCCAAATTGAAATAAATACATAAATAAATAAATAAAAGTTAAATATAAATTGTTCTTTTTTTGGGGGGTGGAGGTTTTTGCTATAGGGCGTGTGCGCTTGCCAGAAAGACAGAGAGACAGAAAACGAGAAATCACCCCCCAGGGTGGATGGCCACGCCACAATCCCTTCTCCTCCATTCTCCTCTTGGGATCTTGGGCATGTAGGCACATGCGCCGTTATGAGTTTAAGCCACCGGGTCTAGGACTCGAACCGCGGTCTACTACATGGGAGTCCAATGACATAGCCATTTTGCCAATTGCTGGTCCTACTGGCCCCAATTTTAAGACTTTTTTTAAAAAAGGCCTTTAAAAAGTAACTATTTAATTTAATTTAATTTATTATTATTATTTTCCAGTTTGATCAGAGGGGGGGGGGGGGGGAAAGTGAGACAGCAAGCCACCAGGTCCAGGACTTGAACCATGTCGGCGGTGTGGGAGTTCAACACCTTTAACCACCACGCCACCTGCTGGCCCCCTCTAAGACATTTTTTGAAAAAAGGATCAAATAAAGTGAAAGCACTTGACTGGTTGCCAGATAGTGTGTGTGCATGCCAGATAGAGAGGGGGAGGGAGGAAAATTGCCTCCCAGTGGTGCATGGTCATGCTGCAATCCCTCCCCGCCATTTCTCCTTCCCCACCAGGATCTGGGGCATGCATGCACACGTGGTGTGTTTTTCAAGCCTCCAGGACTGGGATTTGAACTGTGGCCAACCATGTGGGATCTGGCTCCCAATGTACAGTGCCTAGCTGCTGCACTGAGGCTGGCCCTGAAAACATTTTATAAATGGAAAACATTACTCATGGGCTGCTCCGACAGTGCCTGTCCCCGTGAAGGGCAGGGCTGGGGTGGGGCGGGCAGAGCCTGGCCTCTCCCTGCAGCCATCCGGGTGTCTGGCAGAGGGCAGGCAGCCACAGGGAGGTGCCATGGGTGGAGGCCGACACATTTCCTTCACTCCCTTCAGCTAGGCAGAGATGACCACGGGCCACCCACCACCAAGTCCTGGGCAGAGTGAAGCTGGAGCTGCCTGAGAGGCTGAGGCAGCTCCACAACCCCCGCAGGTCCCAGAACAGTTTACCCCCCAGGGCCCCCATATGAACTAGGGTTGGTGTGTGACGTCTTAGCTGACATGGCCAGACCTGCAGAAAACACCCATGCAGTCCACCATTCTGACAGCTGCAGCTTACTTGGTCAAGATCCTCACTTTTAAGTACCCCAAAACTTGGACTCTGGGGCCAGCAGGTGGTGTGATGGTGAAGGTGTTAGATCCCACACAGCCGACTGTATGGTTTGAGTCTCAAACCCAGTGGCTTGAAAATCATGCTGGGCATGTGTGCATGTGTGCCCAAAATCCCAAGAAGAAAATGGAGGAGGAGGGATTGCAGTGTGGTCATCCCTCTGGGGGGTGATTTCGCTCTCTTTCTTTCTGTTAAGTGCACACACCTGGTAGCAAATTAAAACACACACACACACACACACACACACACACACACAAAACAAAAAACGGGGCCAGCAGGTGGCGCGGTGGTTAAGGTGCTGGACATTCCCACATGGCCAACCCCAACCGTGGTTCGAGTCCTGGACCTGGTGGCTTGCTTTCTCACTTTCCCTCTCTCTCTTCCTCTCTCTATCTATCGGTCAAATTAAAATAAACAAAACTAAATAATTA